AGATGCACTTGGTGCATCATGGCACGAAAGAGGCGCAAGCAAAATAATGGATTGGGAAATACCATATTTACTCCAGTATAGTGCGCCACCGTGTATAAGACGCACCCCCGCTTTTGAGATCCCAATTTATGTATAAAAAAAGATTCCTTGGAGGGGCGCACCCCCCATTTCGCAGCGAAAAGTGTCTGACAAGGGAGATGAATAAGGGGTAAAGCCGGTCTTGAGGTAGGCCGAACCTCATTTCTTATTTACTATCCTAACCTTTATCGAGGGGGGGCACAGTATCCCAAACTATTGGGATCATTTCCGGTAATCAAGAAGGAAATAGCCGAGACCATAATACGATCGAGACCATACGATTGCAAGAGCAAACGGGATCTCCCATCGAAAATTCAATGCATTATGAGGATGAACGGTGCGAGTTGGATTTTCTCTTCGTCGGAAAACCTCAGCGGCTCAAAAATTTCCTTGAGAAATGATTGTCTCTGGAGCGGCCCCTCGGAGGAAGACGAGAGCTCCGAGAATCGATGTAGCCACTCCCTGTTTACTGTTTCATTATTATTGTCATATTATATTTCCCCGGTTCTGACTGACTGCAGACGCTGTTTCCGCCTCAATAAGTGACCAATGAGAAAAAAAAATTATTTCTTGAAAATGAGATTTTTTTCAAGTAAAAATCGCACCCCCTCATCGAACGTAATAATATATGCAAAAAATGCGCCTTATACACGAGTAAATACGGTACTGTATAGCTACAGCTGAAAATGCGTGTGGCAGCAAAAAAAAATTGTGGTTTATTCATAATTCTGGAATCGATGTGCGTCGTCAGCAAATTGCATTCCATCGTCAGGCATAGAAAGGGTAAAAATGGGATTTGTTCGGTGACAGCAGGGAGGTCTTCTCTGGTAGTTTTTATTTATTTATTTGTCAAGCGGGTCATGAAGGGGATTGCTGACTGGTAGAATCTGCGCGTGCGGCACTTTTTTTTCCAAAAGAGATTAGATGTTTCTCCTCGGGTTCAAGGGTGGGCCTTGTCGGTAGGTCGTCGCGTTGAATTTTTTCAGGAGGGCTAGGGCATATTTCGATGTAAGATCCATTCTTCTTTTCTGTAAGGATAGAATGTCCTGTCCTGTCTTGTTGACAAAATTAATTTACATGAATGCTGACCCTGCTTATATCATCTGGCTGGCAGTATTTCTCAGTAGCAATCACAGTGCACCCACTACAACAGAATCCTTTCTGACCCAGCCTCCCTATCGTGCGGCATTCCGCAAGACACCGTTCTCGGCCATCGGCGTAGGAACGTCCTCGAAAGGGGGGGGGGGGGGCGGTAAATGAGACAGGTCAGTCCTGGAATTCGAAAAATTACTATTTCATTTACACACAATCAGGATCTCAATCATGTAAAATTAATGTAAAACTAAAAACCTCTCCTCGGATTTCCTTGTAAAATCTTGCATTCCATCGTCCTCAGGCATATGCTGAATTGCTCCTTTCCATTGACATCCGTTGTGCCGTCTGCGATCAAGCCCAACGAGGAGGCATGCCAACCAACTGCGTTGCTTTGGCATGCGGATGGCTCGTGCAAACAACGATATTATTTCATTCTGGATATCAGAACCTCATGAAATTGTTCCTAGGAGAGAGCCAGTTCTCAACAGCTTTTACGTCTGTTCCCAAAAGGCGAACCAATTCCAAATTGCCAGCATTGGTTTCATGACTTCGAAAAGCTAATCCTTGGCGACCCAGAAACTTTGTTGATGAGGTCACCTGCAAGGGTCAAATTGAACCAAATTTCAAAGTGGATTCTACATTCGGATGAAATTAACTTCAGTCTCATTATTTGCATGAAGAATTAAACAGATTCAGACTCAACTGACGGGCCGATCTGGCGACCAGCAGTTCTTTTCGACTTGCTCATTGAGCTGCACGTCCACACGTTGAGCGGATCTCAATTTTTAAGTCGAAATTCGAAATACCGCATCCCTGGGACACTTGAAACGTTGCCTTTTTCCAGTTGGAGAATCCCGTTTCCACGAATGCTGGTTCCACATTACTTGCTTGCAGCAGCTTCATACGACGTGCCTCACAACATACGTGGCACAAAACCGCATCTTTCATGGGCAAGTATGAAAGTCATAGCCACATTTCGAAGTACTTTAAATTGAATGCCCTGCCACCTTTTTTTTTTGAGAAATTATATTTTTGCGACTGAAAGGGGCCATTTTCACTAACGAGCACAGATTCCGGTGTAATCTCGTCCATAAGGACAACCGATGACACAACACCGTTGAAATGTTTAATTCCAGAGTTTTCTTCAACTTTTGTTGTCTTTGATTTCGTAATGAAATTAAAAAGCGTTCTCGTTTGAGCAGCACTTCTCTTCCGTGACATGGCACCGAACCTCTGTTCACTGTCCTACTAATAAAAAGTTTCAAGCCAGACTGAAGGGGACTGACTCCGGGATCTCCCTTCTTCTCCAGGAAAGGCTTTAGAGGAGGGAGGATAAGTCTAATCGGATGGGAGATTTTGGACCTGAGACAAAAAAGAACTTTCACTGGGTACCTTTCGAGTGTGCCGTACCACGCCAATCCCCTCAGGCATTAACCTTGCTTCAAGCTAAGTTTGCTTTCCAAACGCCACTGAATGCCGCAAAGGATCTTAAGTTGCTAACTACCAGTGTACACACACTTCCATTAGGTTAAAAAAAAGTGGGAGGGGGGGGGCAAAAGATACTCTTGACCCTGCTGGAAAAGTGAGGGGGCATTTGCCACCCCTGCCCGCCTGGTTCCGACGCTTATGTTCTCAGCCCATTTCGCCGTTATGGTGAATGACGATGCCCAAGTAAGTTGATGTGAGCACTTATTTAAATGACAAATCTATCTTGCTGATCCATCCAAAAAATGTCCCACCCGCCCTTCAACACGCCCTCTCGCAGCAGGAGTGGATTGAGGCCAACCCTATGAAACTCAACGCAACTAAGTATCCCATGCTGGAATTTCACTTCTCTAAATCCCTTCCCGCTCAACACGACCTTCATATTGCAGGCTACAACTTGAAGAGAGAGACCAGCGTTCGCTTTCTTGAGCTTATATTTCAGGATGACCTATGGAATCTAAGCACTAATTTAATTATTTCCGAAGCCTCTCGACAAATGCACATGTTAAAGATATTGACATCTTCTGGCGCTCCTCAAAGGGACCTTATCTGTCTGATCCTGGGGGGGAATTAGAACCCCTTCCCCGTCCCATAAAAAGAAAATAAAGAATAATAACAACGCCGCTGCAATCGCATTCTGTAAGCTTTCAAGAGTGCACTCGAGAGAAAGGGTGTTTAGCTCCTCTCTTGATCGACCAAGGAAGGAGCACCGCTCATGAGCATGCGCCAGTAATGCTCACGTAAAGAAATTTGAGGCAGGTTGAGGAACTGAGGAAAGTGTCATCCTGGCTATTGGTCCTGACATGGACCAGGTCAGTTCAGACTCATGCATCCTACCACGCTTCTGCTTTCAACCCGCTCGCGCTTCCTTCATGGCTGTGGAGTGGATGCCTCCTCGTACTCCGGTTGCCACCAGTCCCGTATTTTACGGGAAACTCGCTTACAAAATCTACTGGGTAAAAATAAATTTTTCAACCTTACCTTGGGCTCTCTTAGTTCTGTTTATTATTAGCTTCAGAATTCGTCCCTCTAGGAAGTGTAGATCTTGATTTTCTCGATAATTTTGCTCTCAAATAAACTGTGCAAGTCTGCGATTTCCCCTCCTCCCTCCCCCGACTTACTTCTTGAATACCTAGTCTGGTTTCTCAAGGGCCGCGCCTGCATTAAGAAATAAATTCCTATGGATATTGTCCATTGGATGAGCCGCGTCAACAATGGAGGAACATAAAACCCGTCGTGCCACAGCAGTACCTCTCGCCAGCGCTAGAAAATAAAGGAAACAATCATTTAGATATCGTATACTAGATGTCGCTGTGTTCCGCGTGCTCCATACCAGCGGATGAGCAACGAAAGAGGAGCGTTTCTTAGGTTGGAAGTGAAAACCGTTGATTCATTGATTCTTCTTTTTTCGGAAGAGTTCATTATAATTTGCTATCTTTTGTCAAATTGAGTTATCTTGGAAAACCAAGATTCCAAGACTTTCAAGATTTTATGGTTCGTATTTTCGACGCTACGTGATTCGACGTTCCGCATTTTCGACGCTACGTGATTCGATGCTACACATTTTCGACACTGCGTGATTTAACGCTATGCGTTTTCGACGCTACATGAGTTGATGTTCCGCGTTTTTTTTCGGAAGAGTTTATTATAATTTGCTATCCTTAGTCAAATTGAGTTATCTTGGAAAACCAAGATTCCAAGACTTTCAAGATTTTATGGTTCCTATTTTCGACGCTACGTGATTCGACGTTCCGCATTTTCGACGCTACGTGATTCGACGTTCCGAGTTTTCGACGCTACGTGATTCGATGCTACACATTTTCGACACTGCGTGATTTAACGCTATGCGTTTTCGACGCTACATGAGTTGATGTTCCGCGTTTATTTTCGACGCTACGTGATTCGACGTTCCGCGTTTTCGACGCTACGTGATTCGATGCTACACATTTTCGACACTGCGTGATTTAACGCTATGCGTTTTCGACGCTACATGAGTTGATGTTCCGCGTTTTCGACGCTACGTGATTAGGGGGAGGGGTTATTTTATTGCTGAATCTCTATCCTACGAGATTCGATGTTAAGAGATTCGACACTACGTGATTCACTGTGATTTGATATCGTTGCCTGGAATATCAACGATACTTTTCGACAGAACGTGATTTGATGCTATGTGTTTTCGACTATTTGTGTTTTCGACGCTACATGATTCGACGCTACGTGTTGTAGATGATACGAGATTCGTTCGTACGCATACGACTCATCAAAACAACTCTGAACAGAAAGCCGGCGCGAGTGACGTTGGACTAAGAGGAGCCAATCACGTGAAGGACATTACATGGCAGCACTCAGGGCGTGTTCATGACTGGGTGACCTTGTGGCGTCCACGTGTCCTGTGAACCGTCTCGAGTTCGTAGATTTATACCGCATTCCGTCAACACTGATCTTTTCTCGCCGTTCCAAAAAGATGATGGCATGCAGATGCAAATGAATTAAGCCTACGAGGCTGCATATAAAAACTTTTCATACTTGTGAGGACAGGGGGCATCTGAGTGACGATTTCAGTTTTGGATTTGCCGCAGGTGTTTAAGTGCACTGACTGTAATAAACATAGAAATGACGAGGCCCATGCCTATAATGAACTACTTGAGGTACCTGAATGAGGTATCTCTTCGGAGGGCACCGTCTGCGATCCGTGAATTCAGTGAGTCCGAAGAACTCGTTATCCTGCCTCAAATGAAAAGGCAACCTATTCCATTTTGACGTATGTGGTCTCTTTAACTTGTGGTGACTTCTACTAAAGACTGCTCATCCTCTTCACTTGAATCCTATACATTAGCCTTTGATAGTCTAGGCCTATGATGACCCTGCCAGGCCTTAGCCATTCATTGTAGGCTCAATTATCATGGGTTGAGTTAACTGTCATATCTTGGGCAGTAAATGTTACATCAAATTGTATGAAATAGACATATTATTCCCATTCCACAAGGCACACATTGCTTAAAATATTGAGAGACCTTTCTGAACTGAGTAGTCAAATGGCAGGCAACAAGCAAGTGTTTCCAATGAGGAACTATTTGTACATAAGAACAAGTCCTGAGAATTGATCTCCCAGGCCTAATTTCACAATTTCAGACCATTGGTATATATGACTGAGCCTTTCAATATAATTGAGTAACATCTATGGGATATAAAATAATTTTTAATTCTTTGTTCCTATGGGTTCCTAGCTGATTGTGAAATATTGGAGATATTTCAGCACATGCTGTCACAGAGAGATACCATACAAGAACTTTGAGCAGTTAGTAGGGCAATAGGCCTTCTGTATATAACTAATATAGAAAGGAACATGTAATCCTTGCAGTTTTGGTCTTATGTGATGAGGGAGTGAGTTTTCTGGCTTGAATGGCTGCATGAGAGCAGGTAGTCATGGTATTACTGAATTATGTTCTTTCAGGAGCTCTTTGATTGTGAGGCTCTTACATTTTAGTTTCTAAAACATGTATTGTTCTCTATAATAGGTGTATAGTGCTCAAGCTGTAAAGACACAATTTCATTGAGAATGGACTATACCCGATATTTCAGTCGTGTGTCAAAAAATAGAAAATTCAGTTGGCTAAGAGAATATGGTAAGGAAACAAAACTTTCCATGTGCTTTCATGTTTATCTCATCTGCTTGTACTAGTAGGCCTAATCAAAGTGTTTTGAAAGCTTTTACTACATTCTTACCAAATGTCTTGACCTTGACTGAGCTGCTTTACTGCATGCAAATAACAGTTTTGCATTCTCCATTAAAAATGGTTGAATTTCATAGCTTTCATAGACTTGTCATATCTGTTTCAGCTAAGTTATTGCAAGACCTTCCACCAGGCACAGTGTTTTTGGCTGGAGGTGTGCCAAATACCACTCAGTTTCCATTTGTGGAAGCCAAGTTCACCCTGCGAGATGGCTCAACAATTGCTATTGACCCAAAGCTCATGTCCCAGAGCCTCCAATATGGTGCCACTGAAGGGTAACTATAATTATCTCTCCTTTTTTTTTATACAAGTAAAGAAGGATGTCCTCTTATCCAGGAGGCTTATTTCAAATCATGAAGGTAGGTATGCTTGGCTTCAACTCACAAAATTACATGATATAAAACTTCTGCAGAGTTCCAGCACTGAGGAAGAAGCTGGAGGAGATGGTCAGCCGCTATCATGGAGTCAATGAGGAGCGGATGGAAAAATCAGAGGTGTTAGTCTTACCTGGGAGTCAGTTTGGTCTTGCCATGGCACTGGAGGCAATGCTCAACAATGGCTCGTATCTCATCATTGAGGAACATGCCTACCCAGGGGTCCTGAGTGCTGTGAGCAACTCTTTATGAACTCTCTTTGAAAATGACTCACCCTTGTGAAGTGTTGACGGTTTGATATATTGGAGAGTGCTAGAAAAGAATTTCTTGTTGAAAACAAGTTTTTTCATTAGAGCCTAGGTTACAGTGTGAAAGGAGAAGGCAGAGCTCAAGGAATCATTTATCTGAGAAGTGTTTTGAGTAGTGGTTGAATGGATTGCTCTGATTAATGGATTGGTTTGAATATCATAGGAATTGTCTTGGTTGGGCTGAAAACACTTTGATTGCTTGATGTGTTTCTTGTAGTGTCTACACAGTATCTACAATGTATTTTCTTAGGTAAACCCCTACAATCCCAAGTACCTTCCAGTGAAGGTGGATGGAGATGGAATGATCCCTGATTCTCTAAGGGAAGTCCTGTCACCTTGGAAAGCAGAGGAGATTCGGGACTCTGATGGACTTGTCCCAAAGGTTCATTTATTTTCCTACATGTGAAAATGAGATTGCATATTCAAAGCAAGACTTATTGCTTCATTTTCTCTCAGGTATTGTACATATGTCCAAGTGGTGGCAATCCAACTGGGTCATCACTGACAGAGGAACGGAAACAGGAGATCTATCACATTGCACAAGAATACAATCTTCTCATCATTGAGGATGATCCATATTTTTTCATCCAATTCAGAGATGTAAATATATATGATCTTTTAATGCATAATCAAATTCTGGCATGTGATGACCCCCAGAAGTGATAGGATAAAATTTCTTGTTGCAGGACTGTGTGAAAAGCTTCCTCTCAATGGACACAGATGGACGGGTGTTGCGTATGGACTCTTTCAGCAAGATTGTTTCAGCAGGACTGAGACTGGGATTTGTCACAGGACCAAAACCAGTCATTGATAGGATTCGTCTCCATTGCCAAGTCACTATCATGCATACGGCCTCTCTCAACCAGGTAGGATGAGCAAATGTTTCAATCATCCTTTATTCATATGCAATATTTTGGGACTCTTTCTTTCTACTTATGGTTGTTCCTAGAATTGCAATAAATGATAGAGGTAATATCAATAGCAAATTCAGGGGGAGGAGGGCAACTGTCAGGTTTGCACTCAATTTTCTAAATTTAAAAAGGACATTAATCAATTTTCATCAAAGCCTGTGAAATGTATATCCACGTTTTATTACATATAAAAATGAAAAAGGCAATGGAACAAAGGATGGTAGTGGGTTGGGGGGGGGTTTGAACTAGGAATGCCCCCACCCCCCCATTAATATTTTTTCATATCTGCCACTGACCAATGTAGGTCTATAATGCTGTTATTTGATCTGGGCCCACCAAAAGTAAATAGTTGTTTATCAACTAGGTTTCTCATTGATACCTGTCCCTGGTTGTTTTCCTATTCCTTAACCTCATAACTGGATATTAGATGCCTGTGTTAAATATAAATTCCAAGATGGCCAATGGAAAAATTTGGACATAGGATTTTTGATGACATGTACCAAATCCTATTCTGGCAGTTCTTTTTATTATCATCATTGAACTGTTTGCTTATAAGACACTTGTTAATGCGTGTTGAGTGAAATGTAAGAGGAAAAACTAACAAACTATAGTTGTGAAGTGAATATTTATCATGTATGTCTCCAGATCCTTCTCCTGGAACTGCTGAATAAATGGGGCTGGGAAGGATTTGATGAACATGTTAGGCAGGTGCGCTGCTTCTACCAATCTCAGCGGGACATAATGCTGGCTGCTACCCAGAAACACCTTTCAGGTAATACTTTTACCTATAATTTCTCACTTCCTCCAACTTCCCCTTACTCAGAACCCATATGCTTTACCCTCATGAGCACTGGTGGAGACTTAGCATACCCCTTATATTAGGGTCAGGAGTCAGGAGAGTTAGTGATATCAAGAGGCGATTTCGCCCATTTCGATATCACGTGTCGAGGTCGAGCGTTCCTTAATTTTAGGGTAGGCCTAACCCTCTTAAAGCTAAATATTTTTGTTTGTTTTTTTTTTTT